AATTTTCTTTTCTCATAGAGAAAAATCGATTTTACTGGAAGCAATGCAGTTAAAAAAATTCATGTTTTTATCATTCGGGTCAAACTTCGTCCAATTTCTATTTCGACATGAACATATAGGTGAAAAATGGTGTAGAATTCAATGGAGCTATTTAGAGACGTCTATCGAATCTCTGAAGATCCTCAGGAAAATATTTTCTTATGAAAAGTATCTGAAACGTGCATTTCTTGGCCATGTCACTCTTAGAAGAAATCGAGTGACATGTTTATCTTCTCCGGCACGTAGAGCCGAATGCACATTGGAGAAGTCAACTACAACTAATCTAATTTGTTTGGTTCCCCGCAGGGCTTTTGAAGGTATATGTTTTTTTTTTATTTTTATATTTTTATAGTTTTTTTTCAATTAATGGAGAAAAGAGAAGTGAGAACTAAAAAAGAAATATCGTTTACTTGAGTTTACTGTTGGTGATTTTGCGATACGATACAACATCTAACTTACATGCTTGACCGAAGAAAAGAGAAAGAACTTCACCGTATGACTTACCTTGACTATAAGCATCAATGGAGCGCCAAAATCGACGAAACAGCTTCATGTGAATTTTTCGTTCTTTGAAGTTGTCACGGGACTCAGAAATGACACGGAGCATCGTTGGAAATGTCTGGTCACTCTTTTTCCTTACGTACTGCTTCATTTGACATCAAAGGCCTTCGATGGCATTCAATTCACAGTGAAATTTCGGACAGAAGATTACCTTGATATTATACTTATTTCCTAATATTTCCAGTTTGGAAACATTTTGGAATGCAGGATGTTGTGCAAGAAGAGCCCGCAGTTCGACTAGATTGATCGAATGACAAACAGGAACGTTTAATTCTTTTGCTAGTTGAAGCAAACCTTTTGTCTTTCCACGATACTCACCAGTTGTGAAACGACATGAAATAGAAACGAGCTTACTTGTATGGTCAATGTAATCAATACAGTCGACGGGACACTTCGTACCTATTCCTTTACTAAATTCATTAATAGAATACTCACGCGCTCAATGAGTACGAGCATTGTCTACTACTACGACAATATCATGACCTTTGAAATCCTGTTTGAAAGAAATAAGTTGAAAGAAACGCTCGAACTGCGAAAGAATCGTTCCGTTGTCGAAGTAGCCTTCAATACTTACATTGATGCCGGCGGTAGCTGAGCTTCCAACATAGTTTAAAACATCATCATCACTAGAAAGAGAAGGAAATTTTTTGACATCTTTACCATACTCGGCATCAGAAAGAGAGAAAAACGGTCCGCTCTGATGTTGGACAATGGAATCGCTGATCATGTAGGAACGGTCACGACGTTTGGAAAAAAAAGGAGTGTGACCTTCCACTGTCCACCTCTTAGTCGACATTTCCCCACTCTTAAAAGTTGATTCATCATGAACTAAAACAAAAGAAGAAAACAAGCTATTTAAAAATTTGAAGCAAATTAATAAAAATTTACTTACAGATAAGAATGGAAGGATTATGTGAAGGAATTTTCCATACAGGCTGATCGCCATCGGTTATTGTATAATACAAATCTTTCCTGTGAAGAAAATAAGAAATGAATTCTTGTCGATGAGCGATTACATCTTGCCTTTCATGACCTTCGAAATAAGGCCTTTGAGTATTTGGTTGAAATTTGGCACCCCAACGTCGAAGATCTAAACGATAACTCTCGACTGAACGAACTGGAGCATCATTGAGTTTTGAAATTTGTGTTAGCTCGTAGAATTTTGCATCGACGAAGTTCGCCAAGTCGATTGCTGTAAAATCAGCTGATTTACGTGAACAAGATTCAATGGCGAAAAGCTTAGCGTCTGTCGCGAGTTCTGGAAACATGTCGTAAAATGTTTCATGATACTTACCTGCTCGACCTTCCTCCTGAAATACTTCAATATCACCTGGAATGAAAATTTCTGCCCACTGATGAGCATTTTCACACCGGTAAGCACCGATACTTTTTAGAAGATCGTCAGTGTCACGCCATGTGACATTGAGATAGCGAACAATTGTATAAATAAGAACTGACAACTTACGAGATCAACACGCACTCTTACAAATTTCAAACAAATCGCCAATTACAGGCAAATCTATTTTGAGTTTTGAAGTCTTGTCACCACCTTCACCTTCGCTTTCATCTTTTGTCTCGTCATAATCTAGATCTACAATACTTCCCATCTCAACGTCTAACGATGGCGATGATGTTGAAGCCTCTTGCTGTTTGAGATCAACTTCCAGTTTCCATGGACTGACAGGCTGCATTTAGCGCTTTCGACACTTTGTTAGACTTTCGAGGCATATTATGACGCTTGAAGTGATCTTGTGCAGTGCTGTTCAATATTCAGAAAATTATAAATGTTACTGTATGTGTGACACAAGCTCGTTTCGTAAGAAAATATGTTGTCAAACATGCGACAGAACGCAAGAGAGATGCACTATGTTAGATACGTCATGTCACAACGTTAGATAACCAAGAGATGTGTATGAGTAGGTCTATCTTTCCTCATCTTCAAATTCTAGACGTGTGACACCACTCATTTCACCACATGAAACATAGACTGCCGCCGTTTCATAAGAAAATATTTTCCTGAGGATCTTCAGAGATTCGATAGACGTCTCTAAATAGCTCCATTGAATTCTACACCATTTTTTACCTATATGTTCATGTCGAAATAGAAATTGGACGAAGTTTGACCCGAATGATAAAAACATGAATTTTTTTAACTGCATTGCTTCCAGTAAAATCGATTTTTCTCTATGAGAAAAGAAAATT